GTAAACGGTGTTCATACCATACATGTGAGCTATCGCCACGAACGCCAGAGAGAGAGCAATAATTCCAGCGCTAGTCCTCCTCTGTATCTCTAAACTGGTAACCTGTAGAAATTTTTAAAGTGTTGTCTATGAAGATGTTTAAATTTCATAGTTTGGCGCCATTCCGCAAGCATGCGCAGTTTCAAAGCGTGACATGTTAGGTATCTATTTACTCAGCGTAACATCATCTGTCATAACTGACAACAAAATTGGGGTATATAGTGTGTTTTTTTTTTAATTCATAAAAGTGTATTTTGTCCCCCCCAAAAAATTGCATTTGAAATATTGCTGTGCAAAAAAACTGTGTGACATAAAAAATTGCAATGACCGCCATTTTATTCTCTAGGGCCTCTGCTAAAAAAAATATATATATATATATATAATATTCGCAGGTGCTAAAAAAAGTACTGATTTTCACTTGTTTACACCATTGGATTTAGAAAAATGCCTGGTCTTTAAGTGGTTAAAAACGCTGGTGTTGTTTATAATTTGAGATGGCATACAGGGGCGGACTGACAACTCATGGGGCCCCCGGCCAATAGGGGATCATGGAGTCCCCGTGTCCTTGCCCAAACTCAAAAAATCCTATGAAAAAGGTACCAGGGGCATCTCATGGGGCCCCCTACTGACCCCGGGCCCTTGCCCAAGTTTCCAAATGGTCAGTCCGCCCCTGATGGCATACAATGTATGCAAACACGGGGGAGGGGCATTGGTTAGCTAAATGCACTCATTACACACTCAGCTTGTTCCTCTTGTTTTGCAGCACTACACGGTGGTTGTGCTTTACAGCTCCTTCTCACAATGCAAGTGTATGAGTCACTGAAAACTGAAGGCTGACATTTATTCCCCACTAAGATGCAAGCCAGATTTTAAGCATCCCCTGCAACAAATATTTCATTTTTTGGTAAGATAATCCCAAAGGGAAATCACATCTAAAGGGATGCAGACCCCGCCGCTTTCCTCACTAGAATCCTGCAAGTGCAGCAGCTGATTGATAATTATAAAATTGCTCCCATTCACATTCATTCCGCACATGGACACAGAGACACAAACAGCTATTTCTTCAGAATAGCAAAAGGTAGGAATCTGCAACAGAGTTTGTTACAATCCCTGCAATGTGCATAGATCACCCAGAGGGGAGGGTTTTTTTTTATCAAAAAAAGTGGAGTTACCTTTTAAATCCTCCAATCTGTATGCGTTGTTGAGTTTTTCTATGCGTAGTTTGTGTATATTCACATACAGTACACGCCAGGAGTCTGAAGTGCTCGTTCCATATTCAGGTTCGGCTTCCTCCTTACGCAGTTTCTGTATGGGGGTTCAATTAGTGATCCGCAGAATTCCCTGACAATGGCAATGATACAGATGGAGGATCAGCAGGCGGCTGCAGCATTGTGGGCCTCTTCTGTGTTCGCTCACCAAAGACTTCTGAGACTCGAAGGTAAATGGACATCCAGCCAAGTGCCCGGGGGGCAGCGGAGCTCGCAGATCTGGGCAGACAGATGCCTGACACACACAGATACATGGTGTCACTGTGACTTTATTCAGAGGGACAGAGTTGTTCTCCCACAGCCCTGATCTGTCTGTCACTTCTCCCTGCTGTGAGGAGACAGGATGGAATCCATGATCTGCCTCCAGGGGAAGAGGCTGGGGGAAGGGGAACCTCAGTACCCTGGTTCCCGATCTGCTATCCAAGGGTCACATATGGCCCCTTGGTGCTTGCGGTGTGGCCCTTGGACCCCAGCAGTCAGTAGCAGGAGCACAGGTTTGTAATGGGACTGTATTAGTAGTAATGTCAAGCAGTCTCACGTACCAGATCTTCAGTTTCTAAATATTTCCTACAGCATGTCCACAGTCTCCTACCACACCTACAGCATGTCCACAGTCTGCTACCGCACCTACAGCATGTCCACAGTCTGCTACCGCACCTACAGCATGTCCACAGTCTGCTACCGCACCTACAGCATGTCCACAGTCTGCTACCGCACCTACAGCATATCCAGAGTCTGCTACCGCACCTACAGCATGTCCACAGTCTCCTACCGCACCTACAGCATATCCACAGTCTCCTACCGCACCTACAGCATGTCCACAGTCTCCTACCACACCTACAGTGTATCCACAGTCTCCTACCGCACCTACAGCATACCCACAGTCTCCTACCGCACCTACAGCATGTCCACAGTCTCCTACCACACCCACAGAGTATCCACAGTCTCCTACCGCACCTACAGCATACCCACAGTCTCCTACCGCACCTACAGCATATCCACAGTCTCCTACCACACCTACAGCATGTCTCCAGTCTCCTACCGCACCTACAGCATATCCACAGTCTCCTACCGCACCTACAGCATGTCCACAGTCTCCTACCACACCTACAGCATGTCTCCAGTCTCCTACCACACCTACAGCATGTCCTCAGTCTCCTACCGCACCTACAGCATGTCTCCAGTCTCCTACCACACCTACAGCATGTCCACAATCTCCTACCACACCTACAGCATGACTAAGTCTCCTACCGCACCTACAGCATGTCTCCAGTCTCCTACCGCACCTACAGCATGTCCACAGTCTCCTACCGCACCTACAGCATGTCCACAGTCTCCTACCGCACCTACAGCATGTCTCCAGTCTCCTACCGCACCTACAGCATGTCCACAGTCTCCTACCACACCTACAGCATGTCCACAGTCTCCTACCACACCTACAGCATGTCCACAGTCTCCTACCACACCCTACAGCATGCCCCCCTTTTCCAACCTCCTACAACATGTCCCGTTCTTCACCCACTCCTACAGCATGACGCCAGTCTCCAGCCACATATCTAGCATGTCCCTATTCTCCAACTTCATACGGCATTCCTCCATTTTCCAATCCTCCTACAGCCTGTCCCCATTCTCCAGCCACATGTCTTCATTCTCCAACTACCCCTACTGCATGTTCCCATCCCCAACCTTCCACAGCAAGTCTGAATTCTCCAACCACTCCTATCTCATGTCTCTATTCTAGAAAATCCTACAGCAAATTCCCAGTCTCCAGCTACTCAACCATAAGTCCTCATTCTCCAACCTTCTACAGCAAGTCCCCGTTCTCTAACCACTCCTACCATATGTCTCTATTCTCCAACTACTCTATGGCAGGTCCCCTTTCTCCAACCACTCCTACCACATGTCTGTATTTTTCAACCTCCTACAGCACGTCCCCATTCTCCAACCTACCACCTCAAGTGCCCATTCTCCAACCAATCCCTACTACATGTCTCTATTCTCCAACTACTCTACCACAAGTCCCCATTCTCCAACCTACTACAGTATGTTCCCATTCTGCTACCACTCCTACCACATGTCTCTATCTTCCAACTTCCTACAGCAAGTCCCATTTCTCCAACCATTCCTAACACATGTCTCTATTCTCTAACCTTGTACAGCAAGTTCCCATTCTCCAACCACGCTGCTGAAGGTCTCCATTCTCCAACCTACTACAGTATGTCCCCATTCTGCAACCATTCATACCACATGTCTTGATTCTTCAACCTCCTACAGCAAGACCCCATTCTTCAACTACTCTACGGAAGTCCCCATTCTCCAATGTACTAACTCAAGTCCCCATTCTCCAACCACTCCATAATCCATGTCTCTGTTCCCCAAATACTCTACCACAAGTCCCCATTCTCCAGCCTACTACAGTGTGTCCCCATTCTGCAACCACTCCTACCACATGTCTCTATTCTCTGACCTCCTACAGCAAGTCCTCATTCTCCAACCACTCTACCGAAAGTCTCCATTCTCCAACCTTCTACAGTATGTCCTCATTCTAAAACCTCTCCCAACGTACTGTATATCTCAGTTCTCCAACCTTCTACTGAATGTCCTCATTCTCCATCTACTCTACAAAAGGTCCTCATTCTCCAACCTTTTACAACAAGTTCCCATTCTCCAGCTACTCCTACAGCAAGTCCTCATTCTCCAACCTCCTACAAGTCCCCATACCCCAACTACTCCTACAGCAAGTCCCCATTCTCCAACCTTCTACAGGACATCCCCATTCTCAGACCTCTCCTTTAGAATGTCCTCGGGCTACATCCCTTCCCACAGCATGTAGCAACATCAACAACGGCCCTTTATTTTTGTGAATACCAGACCCCCAGATTGGTCACCTAATAGGGAAGAGATTACAAGGCAGACATTTTTTCCCAGAAAAGGTGACATCTTTATTGGTGACTGATCCACTAACGGAACAGCCGACTGGAACATTAGAGCTGTAAATACAAGACAGAAACCCTGTGATTGGTCGATAACGGGATCATTTGTGATAATCTGGATGCTCGGGCTGGTATGGAGTTCATCTCTCTAGATTAATTTGGCTCATCTCAGTTTGTATCTGGCGGCTCTTGTGTGGCCCCCATCAGTGGGGGGGGGGGGGAGCCGAACGCGGCCTTCTCCCTATATGTGTTTAGGGCATGTATTATTAATCACTTATATATATATTGTATGATTAATTATTGACACAGTGCAGGTCTCATAGATGAAAGGAGAACAGATTCTGTTCCCACAAGGTTCTACGATCCCCTCATTTGTTATATATTTAACAACATTGCTGAACTATGGCTGTCAGAGTGCAAGATCCAAACATTTTCTGCTAAATTACAGCAGATATTCGATGGGAAACACAACGAAACACAACATAGCCCTCTGTTATAGGAGTCTATTAATACCGGGTTATACATTCATTTATGATAATAGTGATTGTTGGATACTATTAATACATGGACCTCAGTAATGGGCTTGTGTGATAATGCAGACAACGGCGCGAGCCATCACCTAGAGCGACCAATCAGCAGTGATCTTCTGTGGATGATGACAGATGAAATGTGACTTGATAGCTATGTAGACCATGCTGTATATTAACCTAGGAGGTATTAGAGGCCGCAACTGCAGTCCCTGAATGCATCCAAGGGCCCCACAAAATATTCAGCATATAGACAGAGACTGCAGACATGATACAGGTGATGGTCAGAGACTGGAGACATAGTACAGGAGATGGTCAGAGACTGGAGACATAGTACAGGAGATGGTCAGAGACTGGAGACATAGTACAGGAGATGGTCAGAGACTGCAGAGATGATCAGAGACTGCAGACATGATACATGAGATGGTCAGAGACTGGAGACACACTACAGGAGATGATCAGAGACTGGAGACACACTACAGGAGAGGGTCAGAGACTGCATACGTACTACAGGAAAGGGTCAGAGACTGCAGACATGATACAGGTGATGGTCAGAGACTGGAGATATACTACAGGAGATGGTCAGAGAGTTCAGGCACACTGCTTGAGATGATCAGAGACTGCAGACATACTACTTGAGATGATCAGAGACTGGAGACACTCTACAGGAGACGATCAGAGACTGGAGACACACTGCAGGAGGGGGTCAGAGACTGCAGATAGACTACAGGAGATGGTCAGAGACTGCATACATACTACAGGAGATGGTCAGAGACCGCAGACATACTACAGGAGAGGGTTAGAGACTGCAGATATACTACAGGAGATGGTCAGAGACTGCAGATATACTACAGGAGACGGTCAGAGACTGGAGACACACTACAGGAGACGGTCAGAAACTGCAGACCTACTACAGGAGAGGGTCAGAGACTGCAGACATACTTCAGGAGAGGGTCAGAGATTGCAGACATACTACAGGAGATGGTCAGAGACTGCAGAGATACTATAGGAGAGGGTCAGAGACTGCATATATACTACAGGAGACAGTCAGAGACTGAAGACACACTACAGGAGATGATCAGAGACTGCAGACATACTACAGGGGATGGTCAGAGACTGCAGATATACTACAGGAGATGGTCAGAAACTGAAGACACACTACAGGAGATGACCAGAGACTGCAGTCATAGTACAGGAGATGACCAGAGACTGCAGACATAGTACAGGAGATGACCAGAGACTGCAGACATAGTACAGGAGATGACCAGAGACTGCAGACACACTAAAGAAGATGGTCAAACAAATGTTATTAGGCCATTTCCTGTGCTGGATGAATGTTTTTCATTATTTTAAACCAGAAAATACTGCATTTGTCCACTAGATGGAGCTCAGTATAATAAGAATTTCCTATGATTCATGGCGCCACCTAGTGGCCCAGTGCAGCATTGTTCTTTTTAAATCAATACACCTCAATGCAAAAAAAAAAAAATAGGGAATGCATGATTTTCAGAGCACTGGACTGCCCAGAACATGTGCATCCCCATGTTGTGGTGTGAAGGTGCAATGCAGGGTGCTGTAGATGTGTGCTGGGGTGCAGTAGACATGGCAGTGGGGATTTCACATATCGGTTCTCTGCCGCCTGTCAAACACCCTCTGAAATGCGATCCACCACAGATTTATTTTTAGGGGTGGGGCAAAGGCTGACACATGTCTTAAGGAGCCCTTAGGGCTCATTCACATTAGCGGTTGGGGGGAAGTAAGAGCGCGGCTCTACTGCAGGGGTAGCGGCTCAGCAGCTGCCCCCTTTAGTTGTAGTGGGTACACATGCCCTGGCCATGATGCATTACACCCGTCACTGCTACGCCCACCAAACATGACACAATGAAGTGAATAGGGCCACTCTACAAGCGTCTTGTCACGGTTTTAGCGCCAGTGCAGGGATCAAGGGGTTAAAGCAGGCGGCACAGAGGTGATACAACTCCTCCTCTCCCCTTGTCAAATGCCATCTGAAGAGCGATCCAAATGCGAACTAAGCTGGAGAAAGCATAGAAGACAAAAGTTCCAATTCCACGAGAGTCCCTTACACAGCGGCGAAGCCAGAGCATCAGCATGACAGTCAGGGAACTAGCATCTCCAGAAGGAGCCCGGGAATGATGGTACAGGTGACAGGTTCTCAAAGCCAGACAGATGTCCCAGAAGCCTTTGCTCTCCGTCTCTGCCCAGCGCACCAAAGCTCCAGGTATTTCTTTCTGAAAATGCTAGTTGCCTGGCTGTCATGCTGATCCAGTACAGGGATTGAATGTATCTGAGTTGCGGTACCCTGCGCGGTCCTTCTCCTTCCTCGCGGTGTCCTGCGCAGGGACAGTGCTGGCCGGTTTGGGTTACAGGCGGCTGTTCTGCGCAGAAAATTAGGATTAGCACAAAGCGGTGAGTGAGGAGGAGAGAGATTAGCGGAGCCTCCTGTCTGCAGAGAAAGGGATTAGCGGGATGTTACATGTGTTAAAAGAGGAGGATTAATGTACAATACTCTGTGAGAGAGCAAGAGAGACACCGCCATCCAGGAGAGACCGCCATCCGGGAGAGACACTGGCATCCGGGAGAGACACTGGCATCCGGGAGAGACATCTGGCATCCGGGAGACACCGCCATCCAGGAGAGACCGCCATCCGGGAGAGACCGCCATCCGGGAGAGACACTGTCATCCGGGAGAGACCGCCATCCTGGAGAGACCGCCATCCGGGAGAGACACTAATCCGGGAGAGACACTGTCATCCGGGAGAGACCGCCATCCAGGAGAGACACTGGCATCCGGGAGAGACCGCCATCCTGGAGAGACCGCCATCCGGGAGAGACCGCCATCCGGGAGAGACACTGTCATCCGGGAGAGACCGCCATCCAGGAGAGACACTGGCATCCGGGAGAGACCGCCATCCTGGAGAGACCGCCATCCGGGAGAGACCGCCATCCGGGAGAGACCGCCATTCGGGAGAGACCGCCATTCGGGAGTCCGCCATCCGGGAGAGACACTGCCATCCAGGAGAGACCACCATCCAGGAGAGACACATCCAGCCATCCAAGAGAGACCGCCATCAAGGAGAGACACCGCCATCCAGGAGAGACCGCCATCCTGGAGAGACCGCCATTCGGGAGTCCGCCATCCGGGAGAGACACTGCCATCCAGGAGAGACCACCATCCAGGAGAGACCACCATCCAGGAGAGACACCGCCATCCAAGAGAGACCGCCATCAAGGAGAGACACCGCCATCCAGGAGAGAGACCGCCATCCGGGAGAGACACGCCATCCGGGAGAGACACCGCCATCCGGGAGAGAGACACCTCCATCCGGGAGAGACCGCCATCCAGGAGAGACCGCCATCCAGGAGAGACACTGTCATCCGGGAGAGACCGCCATCCAGGAGAGACACTGCCATCCGGGAGAGACCGCCATCCTGGAGAGACCGCCATCCGGAGAGACCGCCATTCGGGAGAGACCGCCATCCGGAGAGACCGCCATCCGGGAGAGACCGCCATCCGGGAGAGACACTGCCATCCAGGAGAGACACCGCCATCCAAGAGACACTGAGAGAGACCGCCATCAAGCAGAGAGACACCGCCATCCAAGAGAGACCGCCATCTGGGAGAGACAGCCATCCAGGAGAGACCGCCATCCGGGAGAGACACTGCCATCCAGGAGAGACCACCATCCAGGAGAGACACCGCCATCCAGGAGAGAGACCCGCCATCCAAGAGAGACCGCCATCAAGGAGAGACACCGCCACCCAGGAGAGACCGCCATCCGGGACAGACCGCCATCCGGGAGAGACCGCCATCCGGGAGAGACCGCCATCCAGGAGAGACCCCGCCATCCAGGAGAGACCGCCATCCAGGAGAGACACCACCATCCAGGAGAGACCGCCATCCGGGAGAGACCGCCATCCGGGAGAGACACCGCCATCCGGGAGAGACACCTCCATCCGGGAGAGACCGCCATCTGGGAGAGACCGCCATTCGGGAGAGACCGCCATCCGGGAGAGACCGCCATCCAGGAGAGACCGCCATCCGGGAGAGACACTGCCATTCAGGAGAGACCACTATCCAGGAGAGACACCACCATCCAAGAGAGACCGCCATCAAGGAGAGACACCGCCATCCAGGAGAGACCGCCATCCGGGACAGACCGCCATCCGGGAGAGACCGCCATCCAGGAGAGACCGCCATCCAGGAGAGACCCGCCATCCAGGAGAGACCGCCATCCAGGAGAGACACCACCATCCAGGAGAGACCGCCAGGGACACCAACATAATGACACCCATAGAGATGCGCTATAATGGAAGACTGGGGGGGATAGATAATATGTACCAATAAGGAGCATTCTTCCCACTGACCGCCAATGTAAGGGACATTCTTCCCACTGACCACCAATGTAAGGGACATTCTTCTCACTGACCCCAATGTAAGGGACATTCTTCCACTGACCCCAATGTAAGGGACATTCTTCCCACTGATCACCAATGTAAGGGACATTCTTCCCACTGACCACCAATGTAAGGGACATTCTTCCCACTGATCACCAATGTAAGGGACATTCTTCCCACTGACCACCAATGTAAGGGACATTCTTCCCACTGACCACCAATGTAAGGGACATTCTTCCCACTGACCTCCAATGTGAGGAACATTCTTCCCACTGACCACCAATGTAAGGGACATTCTTCCCACTGACCCCCAATGTAAGGGACATTCTTCCCACTGACCACCAATGTAAGGGACATTCTTCCCACTGACCACCAATGTAAGGAGGCATTCTTCCCACTGACCACCAATGTAAGGGACATTCTTCCCACTGACCACCAATGTAAGGAGCATTCTTCCCACTGACCACCAATGTAAGGGACATTCTTCCCACTGACCACCAATGTAAGGGGCATTCTTCTCACTGACCACCAATGTAAGGGACATTCTTCCCACTGACCCCCCAATGTAAGGGGCATTCTTCCCACTGACCACCAATGTAAGGGACATTCTTCCCACTGACCACCAATGTAAGGGGCATTCTTCCCACTGACCACCAATGTAAGGGACATTCTTCCCACTGACCACCAATGTAAGGAGCATTCTTCCCACTGACCACCAATGTAAGGGACATTCTTCCCACTGACCACCAATGTAAGGGACCTTCTCACTGACACACATGTAAGGGACATTCTTCTCACTGATCACCAATGTAAGGGACATTCTTCCCACTGACCACCAATGTAAGGGACATTCTTCTCATTGACTTTTCCTATTTTGCAGTCAGTTCTTTTTTGTTCTTATAATAGATTTAGGGATCGATTTACGAAAGGCAAATACTCCGTTCGCTTTGTAAGGGAAGTTCCTCCAGAGTTTAATAAGGTGAAGCTCTGCTGGCTTCCCTCATCTAATACTATGAATGCCAAAATACAAAACGACACCCCAAACGCAGCAAAAAGTGCCACACATTTTGGTGCAGGGTAAAAAAAAGCAAAAAAACGCCCATCAAACGTGGCTAAAAACCGCACAAAGATGCTGAAAAAAAGGTATATTAGCGATTTTGCTGCGTTTTTTGCTCATCGGCCGGCCCACTGAAATCAGAGAGGCGGGGTGCTAAACCGTGCAGGAAAACGAGGCTGGATGTTGTGCGCGTTTACAGAACGCACGTGATTGGTTATTCTTTGCAAAGCGAATTTTAACCTCTTTAACTAGACTAAGGGAAAATTCCCTTGCAGAGTGAACGGCCTCATCGCCTTTAGTAAATAAGCCCTTTTATTTACCCAATGAAATCTAGACAGGATTGGAACTGCAGACTATGGGATGTTGGAGCATCGCGGCGCACGAAGGGTTGATGCAGACCTCAGCGATCTCCCTGGAAGCGGGTTAATATCGCAGCGGCGGATTGCGCTCAGAGAGAGCGGAGTTCGCACGCCGCGGTGTCAGAGATGACAAATTCCCTTCCTCTGGCCCTGCGCTCGCCACAAGCTGCCGTGTCAGCAGAGACGGGGAATTCGTTCTGCTGAATCAGAACGGGGCACAGCGTGGGCAGGGACGGCGCTAATTAGAAGAAGACGCCGCGCACGATTCGATGAGCACACACCACGGAGCGCGTGCAGGGACGGGGAGATGAGATTGCAAGGCGCGAGGCGGCAATCACCCTTTACCATTTCACGAGCGCACGTAAAGCGGCGTGATTTCAAGCACGTTTATGAAATGTGGGAAAGCTGCCTGTCGCGCTTCTTTGTGCGACGACCCCTCCAAACACGGCAGAAAAAAGCCACACATTTGGTGCGGGAAAAAATGTACATCAAATGTGGGAGCGGCGGTTAAAAAAAAAACCGCACAAAGACGCTGAAAAAAGGTACATTAGCTACTTTGTTGCATTTTTACGTGCATTCACGAAACAGTAAAGGGTGGGTGAGTGTCGCCTCCAGGGGCGACTGACAACTCATGGGGCCCCCGGGCAATAGGGGATCATGGGGCCCCTGTGTCCTTGCCCACACTCAAAAAAGGTACCAGGGGCATCTCATGGGGCTCCCTACTGACCCCGGGCCCTCGGGCAGTGGCCAAGTTTCTAAATGGTCAATCCGCCCCTGGTCGCCTCAAATCGCCCGGCTGCACACCTTGCAGTCTCATCTCCCCGTCCCTCCCCGCGTGCCGCGGTGGGTGCTCACGGAATCGCGCGGCGTCTTCTCCTAATTAGCGGCGTCCCTCCGATCTGATTCAGCAGAACGAATTCCCCGTCTCTGCTGACATGGCAGCTTGTGGCAAGCGCAGGGCCAGAGGAAGGGAATTTGTCATCTCTGACACCGCGGCGTGCGAACTCCGCTCTCCCCGCGCACAAACCAGCCGCTGCGATATAAACCCGCTTCCAGGGAGATCGCTGAGGTCTGCATCAACCCTTCGTGCGCCACGACGCTCCAACATCCCACAGTCTGCAGTTCCAGTCCTGTCTGGATTTCATTGGGTAATTAAAGAGGCTTATTTACTAAAGGCGATGAGGCCATTCACTCTGCAAGGGAATTTTCCCTTAGTCTAGTTAAAGAGGTTAAAATTCGCTTTGCAAAGAATAATGCAGGCCATAGATGGGTCGAAAATCGCACCGTTAGTGGGTTAATTGGTCGGCTGTTTTTCAGGGTTTTGGCATATTTTTTTTTTTATCGGTAAAGTTGGAAAAAAATCAGCCGACTTTGCCGATCGGCAGATTTTCCCGGCAATGATGGGCAAATCGGCCGATCGTTTTACCGAAAAAATCTGCACATGAGCCGTGACCCGCAAGAAGAAGAAAAAGAAAGAAGAAAAAGAATTCCAGTCCGCTTTTATATTTGACATGAAAAAGTATTGCGGTTGCATCAATGTATCTATTTGTATCCGAATAAAAACATCTGCATCCGAAATGGATACAAATGGATAAATTGTTGCAACCGCAAGACTTTTTCATGTCAAATCAGGGGCGGACTGACCATTTGGAAACTCGGGCACTGCCCGAGGGCCTGGGGTCAGTAGGGGGCCCCATGAGATGCCCCTGGTACCTTTTTCATAGGCTTTTCTGAGTTTGGGCAAGGACATGGGGCCCCATGATCCTCTATTGCCTGGGGGCCCCATGAGTTGTCAGTCCCCCCCTGTGTCAAATATAATAGCGGAGCTCTCTGCAGGGACAGAAGTAATTAAATGCCGGCTGTAGACGGGACGAAAATCGGCCGATTTTTTTTTACCATTGGTGGTAACGTCGGCCGATTGAACGACTGATTTTTCTTTTTTTTTTTTAAAAAACGGACGGTTTTTGACCCGTCTATGGCCTACATAACCAATCATGTGTGTGTTCTGTAAACGCGCACAGAATCGGGCCTCATTCCTGCACAGTTCAGCACTCTCTGATTTCATTGGGCCGGCCAATGAGCGACAAAGGCAGCAAAATCGCTAATGTATCTTTTTTCATGATCTTTGTGCGGTTTGTAGCTGCGTTTGATGGGCGGTTTTTGCTTTTTTTACCCCGTACCAAATGTGTGGCTTTTTTTTTTGTTGCGTTTGAGGTGTCGTTTTGTGACACAAGTGTGACAGGCAGCATTTCATAAACGTGCCTGAAATTGCAGCGCTTTACGTTCATGAAATGGTAAAGGGTGAATGTGATCTCATAGATCCTCATAGATCCTCATAGATCCTCCTCATAGATCATCATAGATCCGGAGATACTGGCGGTAATTCAGCGCCGGATGTCGCTGAGATTCATGAAGCGGTCCTCCTGAAGGCGATCGCGTCCTCTATGGGACGGCAAAGCGATGATCGTGTCCCTTTAACACGCTGTTGGCACAATGACAGGGCCTCCTGATTTTATTTAACCCCTTCCCTGCTCTCTTCCTGCACCTCCCACTCTCTCCCTTTCCTCCAGACTCTGCCAGCTGCTGTATGAGAAGTCAGAGATCCAAACATGTTTATCAGCCGCCTGAGAGGAACACGGAGCTCTGCTGACTCGTCACCCACTACTGAGCCACCCGAGACTGCGCCACGGCGTATGTGTGAGAGACAGCGATGTGACGAGCTGTGGATAAACAGTGTGGCAGACTGATCACTGGGGGGGGGGGACTGAGGAAATGCCGCCTCCTGCCTACTACAAAGGTACAATGTACAGTCTGATCACTGGGGGAGGGGAGACTGAGGAAATGCTTCTTTCTCTTTCTACAAAGTCACAATCAGGGGCGGACTGACAACTCATGGGGCCCCCGGGCAATAGGGGATCATGGGGACCCTGTGTCCTTGCCCAAACTCAAAAAAGCCTATGAAAAAAGGTACCAGGGGCATCTCATGGGGCCCCCTACTGACCCCGGGCCCTCGGGCAGTGCCCGAGTTTCCAAATGGTCAGTCCACCCCTGGTCACAATGTTCAGTCCGATTACTGGGGGTGGGGAGACTGAAGAAATGCTTCCTCCTCCTTCTACAAAGTTACAGTGTACAGTCTGATCAATGGGGGAGGGGAGATTGAGGAAATGCCTCCTTCTACAAAGTTACAATGTACAGTCTGATCACTGGGGGAGGGGAGACTGAGGCAATGACTCCTCTTCCTTCTACAAAGTTACAATGTGCAGTCTGATCACTGGGGGAGGGGAGACTGAGGCAATGCTTCCTCTTCCTTCTACAAAGTTACAATGTACAGTCTGATCACTGGGGGAGGGGAGACTGAGGCAATGACTCCTCCTCCTTCTACAAAGTTACAATGTGCAGATACATCCAAAATAACGAGAATTTAGTTCAAGTTTTGATTGGGAATGATCTGCACATGAAACATTGTAACACATTTGTTTCCTCTCGGAGTCACACGGGGAGAGATAATGACTGATGATGATTGGAGGTCGATATTTCCTCAGTCTTCCACATTGGCCGGATAGGATGGATTGGGAACAGGGGCGGACTGACTATTTGTAAACTTGGGCACTGCCCGAGGGCCCGGGGTCAGTAGGGGGCCCCATAAGATGCCCCTGGTACCTTTTTCATAGGCTTTTTTGAGTTTGGGCCAGGACACAGGGGCCCCATGATCCCCTATTGCCCGGGGGCCCCATGAGTTGTCAGTCCGCCCCTGATTGGGAACCAACTGGATCACCCAACCCATAGTAACCCCATCCATCTCCTCAAAGCCCGGTCACTACGCTGCGATTGGCATATTATTAAACGGCGCGGCATAAGGCGGCAGGCAGCGACGCGCATTTTCCCGCACAAGAAAGTGCTGATGTGTAAATCTATCCTGAGCCGGGATGATGAGGAATAAATTCTGCGCTGAGCCCACTGAGGAGAGAAGGGATTTCGGGAAGATTGATGGAGCTGCGAAATGATCAACAATCACCATCAGTGAATTCTGTCCCCGGCGGAAATTCTCAATTTCACCAAATCGCTGACATCATATCAGCTCGCGAAAAAAAAACAATTCTTCAGGATATTTATAGAACACCAAAAATGTACGTTCACATCAGTCCCCGACCCCCAAAGAGCTTACAATCTAAGGTACCTAGCTCACATACATACCAAGGCCAATAATCCTACCAGCATGTTTCTGGAGCACAGAGCGTTCATGCAAACTCCATGCAGATATTCTTAACCAGGATTTGAACCAGAAACCCCAGTGCTGCAAGGGAGGAGTGTTAACCACTAAGCCACTCTACCTCTCCCCTTCCCCCCCCCCAGTCTTTATGGACAGTTAAGGGTATGTTAGGTGTTTTTCGGAGAGCGGGGATGTAGGACAACTTGTCTTTATGGATGGTTGAGG